CTCTTTCTGCTGCATTCATACTCTATTTTCTTCTTCAGTTGATTTGCTGCTGGGTTGTGGTGGTTCTTTCTTAAATCAAAAGAAAGAAGACTGGGCCCAAAGCCCATTCTTAGTCACTCCGTCACTTTCATTTATTTTCTCTTTTTAATTATATTTTCCTTGGGCTTATTTAATAAGGGTTGCTAATTGACGCCCTAGTTTTATATAATCGCCCTAACTTATAAATTATTATTACCTATTTGCCCTTCTTTTTATTGTTAAAAATATAAAAGTAATCTTATCATAACAAACACAATTCATCCACCACCGTCGACCGTGACTCTGTCGGCCGCCACCATGTTAAAAATGAGGGTAACTAGACCGGGAACAATGCAATCGTGGCTGGCCGCTTCCACCATCGCATCATCAGGCAGCCCATTTCCTATTGGATTAGGATGCTACACAAACAATAAAATTAAACCCAATAATGAAAGAAGCATTGAAGTTGACGGGGCAATGGAGGGTGCTTCTTTCAATTGTAGTGTTCCTTTAGTATGGAAATGACATAATCAGAGTAAAGGGTTGTGGGACATGAGGAAAACAGGGGGTAATGGATTCTGGGAATAAGTTTACCCGCCTACGCCTTCCTTCTGCGCCTTGGTGGATGGTGCCGCTAAGAATCGAAAGAAGGGTGTATACAGGAGAAGGAACGGCGGCGGTCGATGGCAGAGGTGTTGAGAGAGGAGGAAGTTGGCGCTGTTCGGAGAGGAAATTAGGGATTTTAGAGTTTATTGTTTCGGTGAATTTTGTTTGGTAATGAAGGGTAATATAGTAGTTTTATATTATAAGTTAGGGCGATAGTAGTAAAACAAGGGCGACGTTTAGCCATCCAGTTAATTAATCGGCCCACTCTCCCTTGCCTATTCACTTGAGAAACGAACAGAAGCATCCAGTGTCTTCTTCTTCCTTTCGTTCTCTCAATTTCAATCTTCTTTGAACCCTAATTCCCAAATCGGCTGAACCCACTTTCACATTAGTATGTGAAAATTGCGAGATCGACATGTAACATCTTAAATCTACACAAACACAAGAAATTGAGACTTGAGAGGATATGAGTTTATAAATTGAAAATGAGCATATGATGAGTTTCATGCAATCTGCCTCAGATCCACCGTATTTTGACATCTGTGGTTCATGCATTGGGGAGGAAGATGAATTAGACCGTTTTCTTTTAGGTTTAGGTTTCTTCTTGGTATCAACTATCAAGGAAAAGAAAAACAAGCAAGGGAAAATGGGCTTTCAATCAGCTTGGCTGTTTAAGTAACATGGGTCTAGGGCAAGATTGGAAGGGAGCAAACCCAAATCGCCAAGGAAGGATAAGTTTTTTTTTTAATAATAAAAGTAAGGAGAAGATTTAGTTGTTCACCTTTCGATAAAGACACATTTTATTTGATTCGATCAAATTCAAATAAAAAATTGAGTGAACACTTATAACGAATCAAATTCCAAACGAAATAATGATTCGATTGCACCAATTTGGTTTAGTTTAGTACGATGAAAATTGAATATAATGATTCATATAATCAGAACAAATTGAGTTGAATAATGAGTTTGACTTTTTGATTAATCGATGAACCGAATAATTTTGAACTTGTTATAAATTTTTCTATAGATCTACCATATTGTCATCTTTGGTTCCTGCATTGGGGAGGAAGATGAATCAGACAGTCAAATTTTAGGTTTAGGTTCTTCTTGGTGTTAACTGTTTGCAGGGTGGGGACCGGAATACTAATTATTTCCACCGGGTAACTCAAACCCGTCATGCTCGAAACTTTGTGTCCTCTCTTCGCACTCCTACTGGTACAATTGTTGAGGATGAGCAAGAAAAGGGCATGGTCTCGGTAACTCACTTCTCGACCCTATTTACTTCGAAAACTTCTCCTGCTGACATTACTTCTGCGGTGGATAATTTGCCATTGCAACCCAAAGTCAGGACTGCTATGAATGAGGCTTTTCTTGCCCCAGTTCTTGATTCTGATATTCGACAAGCTTTATTCGAGATTGGCTCTTCAAATGCTCCGAGTTCGAATGGATTCACGACCCTGTTTTTCCAGCACTTTTGGGAATTAGTTCGCTCTGACGTTTGCACGGCAGTGAAATCTTTTTTCCATACTAGGCATTTGTTATGATCCTTTAATCATATCTGACTTACCCTAATTCCGAAGGTGCCTCAAGTGAAAATATGTGCGCAGTTGCGGCCTATTGGATTATGCCAAGTTTTCTACAAACTTATTTCCAAAATGATCGCTACTCGTCTCAGGCAAGTGTTAACTCAGGTTATCTCCACCTATCAAAATGGCTTCGTAAAAGATCGCTCGATTGTAGATAATGTCATTCTTAGTCAGGAAGTTATGACATACCTACGTAATAAGCGTATTAGTTACGATCGTTTTATGGCGTTGAAACTTGACATGGAGAAGGCTTATGATAGGATTGAATGGCCCTACCTCTTTCGCTTAATGGAAAAATTGGGTTTTGCACCTCGTGTTATTGAGCTTCTCCACAATTGTCTCTCCACAACCTCCATTTCAGTTCTTCTCAATGGCGCCTCTTATGGGTTTTTTCGGCCATCTCGTGGTTTACGGCAAGGGGATCCTCTATCCCCATTACTTTTCGCCATTTGTACGGAGGGTTTTTCAGCTTTGCTGTTGCAATCCATTACTCGTGCTGAGCTAAAGGGTATCCGTCTCAATAGTCATTATCCAGTCCTCTCACATTTATTTTTTGCGGATGATGCTTATCTTTTTCTCCGGATTTCTCCGATCGAATGTCAACGATTATTGGATATGTTTCATCGTTATGAACGAATGAGTGGACAACGGGTTAATCTAGCAAAATCAGCAGTGGTGTTCTCTAAAATACCACCACGCAAGAGGCGACGCAATTTGGGACCACATTACAAGTTGGGGCCATTGGGACACATGATCAATACCTTGGACTTTGTTCCATCATCCATCGTTCTAAGCGGGATACTTTTCGATTCATTGAGGAAGAGGTTTCTAAACGTCTCCGAGGCTGGAAACGACGTTGTTTATCGCCAGCAGGATTGGAAGTTCTGATTAAATCAGTCGTGTCGACCCTACCTGTTTATGCTATGTCATGTTTTTGTCTTCCAAATGAGCTTTGTCGGGCTTTAAATCGTATGATTGCACGGTTTTGGTGGGGTCAGCAGAAGACCGAAAGACGTTTGCCTTGGGTTTCTTGGAGACATCTGTGCAAACCAAAAGGGGATGGTGATTTGGGCTTCTGGGATTTTGAGGCTTTTAATCAAGCGTTGCTTGCCAAGCAATGCTGGCGCATTTTACAAGATCTCAATTCCCTAGTTGTGCGGGTCTTAAAAGGACGATACTTTCATCATACGAGTTTCTTGAAATCCGGTATGGGTTCTAATTCATCTTGGGCATGGCAATCACTTCTTCATGGCCGGGCATTGCTACTCCGCGGTTTGCGTTGGGAGGTTGGTTCTGGTTATTCAATTGATGCTTTGACGGATCCTTGGGTTCCATCTCTCCAAAGTTTTCGACCAGTGGTACTGCCCACTGCAGATCAGTCCCCTCGATTCCTCTCCTACTTCATCTCTCCCATTCATCATTCTTGGGCCCGTGGTGCAATGGACGATGCTTCTCCTCTTGATCGTGCTTTATGGCCTCGACTTTGGGGACTTCCTCTTGCTCTCAAATTGAAGTTTTTCCTTTGGCGGATTTTACTACGAATCCTTCTGGTTAGGGAGAATCTTGGCCGAAATGGGGTGCAGGTGGAAGAATCATGCCGCGTTTGTGGTTCAGGTGAGGGATAATCGCTGGAACATTTATTCCTTGCATGTCCTGTGGCGGTAGCTTTCCGTCAACGTTGTAACTTACAACTTCCTCTGGGAATTTTTCCAAACACGCATTTGTCCATCTTTTTAAGACCCATCATATTCAACTCCGATCATGCCACCATAATTAATGGGGTCCTCTTTTTTTGGCGAATTTGGAAAGGGCGGAATAATGTTGTCTTTCCGCCCTATGCACAATTTACCACTGCTGCCTTGTACCGTCATCTATTATCTCATCATGCCTCTCATCAAATTGTCGTCCTTCCCATTCAGTCGCATCCGCCGCCACCCAAACCTCAGTCGCTTCCCCTTTCGACGCTTCAGTCTACTTTCCTTATTGCAGTTGATGGGGTGACCAGTGCTCCAACTCATGGCGCAATTGGCGTGGTGGGTTTTGCTCAGAATGTTCCAGTTTTTGCAATGGGTGGTTTCCTCCCAGACCTTTTTCATCCTAAGATCACGGAGGTGTTGGCAATTAGAGAAGCTGTATTATTACTTCAACAATGGTAGTGGAAGGATCGGCCAGTCGTGATCACAAGTGATGCTCTTGCAGTTGTACAACATTTGACGGCTTGTGATGCAAATGATGCCCATGTGGGAGCTATCTTACGAGAAGTCATCATTTTGTTGCAAGAAATGTCGCTAGTATCTGTTACTTTTACTCCTAGAGAAGTTAATCGGGTTGCCCATGTTGTGGCACGTAATGCCTTATGCTACTCTTGTTCTTGTAGTGTTCGTTTCAATTGTACTTATTTGCTTTGACTATCTTTTCACGAAGAATCCGTTATATTGTGGCTATCTCATGCTTAACTAGTTAATCTGCAAGGATTTCTATGACAAAAAAAAAAAAAACTATCAAGAAAACAAAATTGAGCAAGGGAAAATGGGCTTTCAATCCAGCTGGGTTGTCCAAGTAACATGGGCCTAAGATAAGATTGGAAGGAAGCAGACCCAAATCCCCAAGGAAGGAAAAGCAAATACTAAGCGAACACTTATAACGAATCGAAGTCCAAACCAAATAGTGATTCAAATGAATTTTGACACCAATTTGGGTTAGTTTAGTTCGAGTAAGTTGAACATAATGCCCCCCATTCTGAAGCCTTTAAAAATCAAGTATATACTTAGAATCGAATTAAGTTGAATAACAAGTTTGATTTTTTGATTAATCGATGAACCGAATCATTTTAAGCTTTTCAACATTTTTTTATTTAATTTCCAATTTTGTGATTATAGGTCGAACCAAATCGATATTTCACCCTTAGGTGGTCGAATGCCTTAAGTTTGAAGTGTTCGTCCGAGAAATCGCAATCACCAGAAGTTAAATTCCAGATTAACTAATAACTATACTACCGGGTGGGGCCAAGACAGTGATCCCCTACTCCTAGGTTGGAAAGAACCGGAATAAATAATTAACCCTTTTTTATTGCACAGAGAGTTGTTTCCTCATTACATCAGGATGTCTTCATTCCTTGAGTAAAGCACTTCACTCGCCGCCTGCCACGTCGACGTCACACTCCCTTTTGCCCAAATGCATGTCGACATTTTCCGCTCATTTCCTCGCCATCTCCCCAAAGTCAAAACTGCCCTCCTCTCCCTCGCCTCTTTCCCCTAAAAACTCGCTCCCACGGCACCCTCCCTCCCTCCCCTGTTTTCCACTCTCACGCAGTCCCCTTTTTCCCTCACCCTCTCCAATCTCCCCTTAAACCACCTTCTGATTCTCCTCCTCCTCCTTCCACCCTTTTCAATGGCTGCTACTTCCTCAATTTTGACTAATTTCCTCCCAGGTCTCCTCCAGTCTCCCCTGACCTCCGTATTGGGCTGCAATTGCGACGACGAAGCCGGCACCTCCGGCAACCCCGGCGACGGGCCCTTGGTCTACAAAATCGTGGCGATTTGCACGATCCTCGTCGCCAGCGGTCTCGGAGTCTCGCTCCCGATCCTCGCAAGGAACGTGCCGACTCTGCACCCGGACAGCAAGCTCTTTTTCCTGATCAAGGCGTTTGCCGCCGGGGTCATTCTGGCGACCGGGTTCGTCCATATTCTCCCCGACGCGTTCGAGAGCCTTTCGAGTCCCTGCTTGAAGGAGAACCCTTGGGCGAGGTTCCCGTTCCCTGGGTTCGTGGCTATGATCTCGGCCGTGATGACAATGATCATCGATACTCTGGCCACCAGCTATTTTCAGGGCTCCGGTTTTAGAAGCGACAAGGGGGTTTCGTCCGTTGCTAATCATAACGATGGTGGTGGCGATTTGGAGACCAGTGCTGGGATGGAATCTCACGAGGGTCATGTTCATGTTCATACGCACGCTACTCACCATGGTCACTCTCATGGCTCTGCTTTTGCTGCTGCTGCTTCCCAGGATTCCCCTGCCTCCGCCCATCTTCTCCGGCACAGAGTTGTTTCCCAGGTACTCTACTTCTCCTACAACCCATTACAAAAAGAATTCAAATTTCGCTTCTTTTTACTATGACTGTGATTAATTGAACGATTTCACCCTAATCAAAACTGGAATTAGTTACTGCTCACCAGAAATTACTTCATAACTTGCTCTGTTTGGACCTACTCTGTTTCCTCTGCGGGAATTTTCATGGTTTTAGGGTTTCTCTTCTTGGAAGCTTCTGAATTTTGTTCTTTTTGGGATTTGTGCTGAACCAGGTTCTGGAACTGGGGATTGTGGTTCATTCAGTGATCATAGGGATATCATTGGGAGCTTCAGGGAGCACGAAAACAATCAAGCCACTGGTGGCAGCGCTGACGTTCCACCAATTCTTCGAAGGGCTAGGCCTGGGGGCGTGCCTGTCACAGGCGAGCTTCCGGCTGCGGGTGGTGGCAATGATGGTGGCATTCTTCTCGTTCACCACGCCTATCGGAATCGCGGCGGGGATATGCATATCACGCATTTACAGCGAGAACAGCCAGACGACCCTGGTGGTGGGCGGGTTGATGAACTCTGCCTCGGCCGGGATTCTGATATACATGGCCCTCGTCGATTTGCTGGCTCACGATTTCGGCAGCCCTAGATTGCTCGGCAACTTGCGGTTGCAGCTTGGAGGGTACGTCTCGCTTCTTCTGGGCATGATCTCCATGTCTTCCTTGGCCGGATGGGCGTAAAAAAGTGATGGGTGCAAGTCTTATAACACATATATCAACCATTCTTTTTGGTCAACCGGCGGGGCAGCCGACGGCAAGTTTTTAGCTACTTAAACATGGCACAAGGGATCAACTTCCCTAAGGCAAGAAATGGAAGGAAGCCATGGAAGAAAGGGATCAAGAAGACATGTAGATCGAGGCTGAATTTACTGGTTCACCGTAGTTCTAGATCATGTGTTGCAGAAACTTAATATGTATATTGGTGCTAGTAAATTAATCTAGCCATATACCCAAATGTATCAAATGTGTTGCAGAGTTTTGTATCAAAATTGAATGTGAAGGGGCGCATAGGATTCGGGATTTGGTTCGGTCACTCAGTCACCACAACCAGAATGATGTATGCATGTCAAAGTGACTTCCATCAGTTTGATGAGGTTAATTTCCAGCTTACCTGGATGCAGATGGAGCAAATCATTCCCTTGTTAAACTGCATTACCACTTTTTTGGTCATATGTATTTGACGCGAAACCTTAAATCAAAATTTATTTATCGGACGTGAATTTTTAAGTTTATCTTACCATGATATAAACAAGAAAGGGGATTTAAATCGTTCTTTTCTGAAATGAGTTATCACGGAAAGAAATCAGATCTGTCCAGTAATATGCTAATTCCAATTAGTTTTCATACCCTTGCATACATATAATAATACAACTTGCAACAAGAAGTTGGGCAAAATGAATATCAGGTAATAATATTCTAGAATTGGGTTGTTTTCACAGAAATGTTGACAGGGAAAACAATAATATTGTCATTGCAGTCTATTCTTGTTATTGACCTTATATATCCGATGCAAATTAGCTATAGCCAGGGTTGGGTATATATTTAACGATGTGAAGCTCTCATATGGTTAACGTCCCGACATCCAACTTGAGAGATTCTATCACTTGTTTGCATAATTTCAACGCGTAGCTAGGTATATGATATATAGAAGAAAAGGCTGGCTGGCGCAAGGCCTCGTTTCAACGTGGTTACTTGCATATCTATAGACTTATGCTATTGGTTGCGTGAGCGTGGAATTAAGTTCATCATCTTTGCTTCCATCCCTCGGAGTTCTTAGAGCATCCAAATTGCTATTGGAAGATTTTTCAATTGTAAAATCAATTGAAATGATGTGGCTACACAAGTTTGCAACCAATGCAATTATATATGAAAGGCAAAATGATCTAAAAAATGAGTTTATTTCCTTTTCTTTTTTTTTTAAACATTTTTTTTCTTGTTTTTTGTCATAATTTAAAAATAATATTTATTTAATTACACCTGCAATTGCAAGTGATTGTAGTGATGTAATTGCAATAATATTTATATGAGTTGGATTGCAAAAGTATTGACATGGCAATCAAAATCTCATATACAATTGGTTTTACAATTACCTTTTATTTGATAATCCAGGAACATCAGCAACCCACCTGAGGGTCCTGCATAATAACCATCAAGGGGTTTGTTCTTTGATCAAAATAAGTATAGACAAAGAATTGAAAGAAGAAAAATCTTTCAATTTGTATCTTCGAATTCTTTGAAATTCTTTTGAGTTCGGTCGCGCGATCTCCGCCGTTGTGCTACCGTCATTGGGGAGACTTCGTCTCCTGTACCAAGGGTGCCTCCGTGAACACCAAGAAGGCGGTACTGGGGTTCGAACCCGGGACCTTGTCACATCCCAAGCCCGAAACCCAGCCGTTTACCAACTAGGTTGTCTTACCATCGACAATTGATTTTACAATTACATTGAAGGAAGAATGATAATATTTTTCACGAACATAAAATTAAAAATTTAAATTTTATATTTTTAATTTCTATTCTTAACACCCATAATTATAGAGTAAGAATGGTCATATTGTTTGTTAAGCTAGCATTTAAGTAGAAATTGCAAATTCATATATCTTTATTTAAGGGATGCGGGCAATTATTCATGGAGGAATGTAAAAACATGCATAAAAAAGACTTGGTTTGCTAACATAATATGTGCTAGCTAATTACACGCAGGGAGAACAAATTTAACGGATTTGAGTCGAATATAAATACAAAAAAAGATTTTAGAATTGAGTAACCAAACAAATTAACTTGGTGACCTACAATTACAAGGGTGCTAGCGTTATTTATAGGGCTCTTCTTTTAATCCTAAACAGAAAACCATATACTTTTACCAAACCAGAAAGAAAAAGCCCAAACATACAGACAAATGGACAAGGACCATACAAATCAGGGCATCCTAAGAAATCTTGAATTCTCTCTCAAATATACTAGATGTACCAGATGCAATCAACATTACCATATTTATCCCAATGCGCTCCAAATCACTATATGTACTAGACTCTCCCGTGCCTAAGAATGCCCTCTAAGGGCGGTATAACTCAACACATTCAACAAGACAAAAAAAAAAAAAAAGACCAACCTATGTTGGGATTTGTCATGGGAACCAACTTGGTGTTAGGGGTGGCTATACGGTCCGGACAAATTGACACGAATTGATCTGGTTCCAGTCCGGTCTTTTCGGAAATACAAGGACCAAAGATTGGATGGGATATAGTCCGGTCTTGATCTGATCTGGTCCAGTCCCAATTCAGTCTTGATTTTAGATTGAACTTGTAGAGATTTGAGTGGCCTGAGGACTCAAAGAGTGAGGAGTTGGTTAAGTTTTGGGTGTTGGGCTTCTTATCCGGTCTTTATCCGGTTTTTGATCCGATCCCAAACGGTTTTTTACCTCAAATCTAAGCCCGAAGATTTGATTGGATTGTTTGCTATCTGGTTCAGGTCCGGTCTTGGTCCGGGTTATACGCTCCGGGTTCAGGTAAAATCAAATAGCCCGGACCAAATAGCCAGCCCTACTTGGTGTACATATCGCCCACATCACATGTAGTACAAAACATTTGTAGAGTATACAAGGCACCATACTTAACATCTTCAAAAACATATTAGAGTCCTTGTAAATACCGCTCCACCTTCACCTTCGAGACGAACACCTTTACTGTCTAGTAGACTCAAAGACATCTTATTCTTTTTCATAAGTGAAATATGTCTAACATCATTCAATGTACAAACAAAACCATTATATGTCCTTATTTAGATGGAGCATTTTCTAACTATCTTGCATATAACACTATTGGCTATAGAAACATATCCTCCATCTATATGCTCACAAGTTGAAAAATACTCAATGCTTGGGTACATATGATAAGAAAGTACAGTATCTGAATACCACACAATCTTACGATGTACTTGTTCATTCACAGTGAAGGCTAAACCATCTTTTGAATCAAAGTTTGTTTATGCCGCAACAACACATGCTTGCTTCCTTATGTTTCTTAAGTTTAGGACAATCAAATTCTTAATTTCTTATCTTCTTATAGTAATTACATATATCTCAGCCTTCTAACTGGTAGAAATCAAATTACTATTCATCTTCTTATTAACAAATTGTTGTCTCTTTCTACCTGTAGCAGCCATCCCAGATGTATGATTTTTTGAACCTAAATCTTACACTTTATGTAGAACCTCTTTATTGTGAAGAACATATATGACATCTTTCAAAGACATACAATCTTTAATAGCAATAAAATAATCTATAAAATTCTAATATAAACTTGGCAAAGATATTAATAGTATTAATTAATGCAGCGTCTTCATCATCTTTTTTAACATTAATATTCTGCATATCTAAAAAGGTAGTATTAAGTTTATCTGGATTATTCCTAAGAAGCGTTCCTTCCTCTATACGCATGCATACTGAACAGAAGTTACCTCCGATGCAATTTGTTGGTTAAAGACTTTATCATGTATAGACTTTCAAGTTTCAACCACACAGACCAACAATAATTTTCTCAACATAAACTTTAGTGATGATATCATCAGTCAACAAAGCAAGGTGTAGAATAAGTACTCCACTCTTCATCATCTACTGGTACTCCTTCCTTCTTTAGTTTTCCAGACAATGGTGTCCACTGAACTTGTTGTTTCAACAGTGCTTGCACCTTATTCAACAGTGTTTGTAGGAGACTTTTGTATTTTATTGCATTTTATTTTTGTGATTGTACAGAGCCGGCGATTTAGTGGCATGTAAGGCTCTTTCATTGATATCTATGGTTTATCCTATATATGATTGATCCTATCTATGACAAAAAAACACAGTGTTTGCATCTTGATTAGTCACAAAATGGACATACTAATAGCAACCATCCTTTGATTATCGAAAATCCTAACATAAACCACCCAACCAAAGAAAGAATTGAAATATATAAAAAGCCACTAATATAGTTGTTTTGAAATGAAATGTATCAAAAAGTGAACTAAATTGTTATACTTATTATCAGCATAAAAATTTGGCACTACAAATGTACTTGACAAATTTGACGTGGGGTGAATTAGCTTGTAAATGGGAGCAAAAAAAGTTGCTTATCGAGAATGAGATATAATGAATGGGAGCAAATAAAAGTCGTGCACCTATTTCAAGTTCATTGAATGAAAATATGATTAAATAGTCAGTCAAATTAAGAGAAATGCAAATAGATAATTGAAAAAACTGAGATAAGATAATCAAGAATGGCGCGACATGGGGCAAGGTTGAAAGTAGTAACCCATGTACTGCCCAGTCAAGTCCGAAAATACCAAACGGATTGAGTTGAAATTGTCATTGAAACATTTGAACTCCGTACCAAACACCTAATAAAGATGGTTGGTGGAATTGTGGAACCGATTAATCGGATTGATAAGATCTCGTGAAAATATTGGTTAGTGGTTAGTGAATTTACGTAAAAAAAGATACACATGCAAATATTTATTGAATATGGTTTGGGTGTATTATCGAAGGCACAAAAAGGGAAAAGGATGATGGATGTGGAGATGATAGTTAGAGATCCACTCATTAATCATGATTCTCAAATTAAAAACTTTTATAAAAGCATTTGAAAAAATGCAGGGGTAGAGCACAGGAGTAAGGAACTGAAAAATGACGCCAAATGGAAATGGCTAGTGTAGGCCTCGCGCTCCCATGAAAACATAATTGTTTTAGGCAACGGTAAATGATATTTAGCTTTATATATACTAATTAGTCGAGTAAGTATTACTAACGGAGCTGTCTATATTTGTCCAACGACCATCAAATATCTAACTATATTTTTTTTATTTTTTTTAATAGTTGACTATAATTATTGTAAAAGTCAAAATTATAACAGTGCAAGCCTTCTTTGCCATCTCTTATTTATCATTCATTCAGTTGTGGCATCAAGTTTCTTTTATCTACCCCAGAATAGATCTTCCCATCGTGCCAAGTGGTTGCTACCGTTGGTAGTGATGAGTTTGAGATGGTACACAGCACAGCACAGGCCTGCGTTTACTGCATCTGTCATAACATGCACTGGTCAGTAGTGTGAAAATTAAATAGTGGTGAGGAAGGGCTCTCCTTTTCCCCCTTTCTCTAAAGTTAATATATACTAGCAAAAGTCGACTCGTTATGGATTCACATCTAATAAAAATAAATATTTTAAAAAAGTAATAGTTTTA